ATAAGGAGAGGGAGAGATCACTCACCTATTACCATCATGGGCAAAACACACTTGACTTGGGGAAATCAGTTTAATTTATCACCAACCAAATCAGAGAAGGATAATGAGAAAATAAAAGCTAAATCTTGAAAACACCTTTGCCCCACCACTCCTGTCTTCCTGGGCTTTACTTCACTCCCGAATTCTCTTACCTCCTCCCCCCGAGCAGCTCAGGGGGACAGGGAATGGGGGTTGCGGTCATTTCATCACACGCTGTCTCTGCTGCTGCTTCCTCCTCAGGGGAGGACTCCTCACACTCTGCCCCTGCTCCAGCATGAAGGTCCCTCCCACAGGAGACAGTTCTGCACAAACTTCTCCAACGTGAGTCCTTCCCACGGGGTGAAGCTCTTCACGAACTGCCTAACCATAAAGCCTACGGGCAGTATCCAGTTTCCACTGGGGACCCCTTAAGGCGACAAGCCCTGCCAGAAAACCTGCTCCGGTTGGGCTCCTCTCTCTGCATGGGGCCAGAGTTCCTGCCAGGCGCCTGCTCCAGCACAGGCTCTCCACGGTGTGACAGCTTCCTTTGGGTGCGTCCATCTGCTCCAGCGTGGGGCCCAGCTGGAGGTCTGTTCCACCGTGGACCTCCATGGGCTGCAGGGAGACAGCCTGCCTCACCATGGTCTTCACCACAGGCTGCAGGGGAAGATCCTTGCTTCCGGTGCCTGGAGCACTTCCTCCGCCTGTATCTTCACTGACCTTGGTGTCTGCAGAGTTGTTGCTCTCACATCGTCTCACTCCTCTCTCCGCTGCTATTTTCACAGCAGTTTTTTTTCCCCATCATAAAGGTGTTATCACAGAGGCGCTAACCACCATTGCTGATGAGCTCGGTCTTGGCCAGTGGCGGGTCCATCTTGGAGCCGGCTGGCATTGGCTCTAACAGACATGAGGGAAGCTTCTAGCAGCTTTTCACAGAAACCACCCCTGTAGTCCTCTCCCTCACTACCAAAACATTGCCATGCAAACCCGATACAGAATTCAGCTAAACATTCAAGAGTTCCTCAGCCAAGGCTGCCAGAATAGATGGTTGTTTTAGAAGGTCTGTTGTACAACTGGAGTTATAGACAGATTCTCTGCTTCCAACTGTCAACCAAACAGGCAACTGCCCATTAGTCACCAGTGCTGGAAGCCACGTGGGCATTTATTTCAAGCAGACAGAGCAGTACATCTCATTATCCCCGTTTCTTTGAGATGTGGCATCCCAGCAGGTTGCCTTCTTCCCTGTTGTGGGCACTGGGGTTTTGACCTGAGGAAGAAGCTGCTAAATTTCTTTCCATCTATGATTCCCTCAGCTGAGGGACCTGCAGATGTTTAGGGCAGAGACAGGGCTGCAGATGCTGTTCTCGTGTGGACAGCATATCATTAGACACTGTGGTTAAGTAGAGGTGCTTTCTGTGAACCGGGGGTTCTGTGCATTCAGGAAGTGAGAAGTCAATCCAAGCAATAAAATAAATAAATAATTACTGCAAAATGAGGCAAGCAGGAGGTTAGAGTTGAGTTTCCTATAATGTGATTTGGATTCCGCCTCTTTGTGTGCCCCTGTGCTGCATCACATTGCCTTATGTAAGACGTTTGTCACTTCAGCATTCATGTAAGGGTCTGTCGCAGATACATTTCGTTCATGCCTAGGTAATCTCAGATCTTGCCATGGGTGCTTGTATTGCAGTTTTCACGGCAAGTGTTAGGGCTGGATTAAATCAAAGGGTGTGGCGGGGGGAACAAGGAGGGCTCTCTTAAAGAAAATTCCTAATTATGTCATCTACTCTCATTGGTACTGTGTGGCCCTGTATGATGACATCTAAATATCTTGTCTGTCTTTGTTTATGCTAATACTAGGTAGCAAGCACAAGAACGATGAAAACCGTAGAAAATACATCTGTGAGGAAAGGTTGGAGAGACTGGTATTTTGCTTGTAGGGTAGACTGAGGAAGGCATGAGTCTAAATATTTTAGAAGAGGGTGTTATTCTCTGCATTTGGTATGACTGGAGGAAGTAGCAGGGAGCTTGAATTGCAACAAATGGGACTTAGATTAAAACAAACTTGCTAAAGTGAATCAGGAGGGGATATTGTCCAGGGCAGTGGTGGAACCACTTCTGGGAGGCTTCTGAAGGCAGGCTAGCATCTGTGGGGACTGGTTTCGGTGCAACTAGTCCTTCCTGGGAAGGGGCAGGTGAATAAAAAGATGTCTGCTTTCAAGGCAGCTGGTCTGGGTCTTAGTAGATACGGGATCAGAGAAGCCCTGATCTGATCCAGTCTGTCTTGCTGCTGCTGTTTCTGACACATTAGCTGTATGCATCAGCCAGCAGACCTGACCAGCTTACCTTTCCCCTGGGGTAATGGCATGGCTCCACCTTATTTTGGGACACCTTAATGATTATTTACAATAATATTCCATTTTATTACAAAAACTCATTTTTTGTCCCATGTTTTCCAAGAAGATGATTATTTCTCATGATTAACAGATGCTTAATTGGTGGGAGGGAAGGAGAGGGGAAAGGAACATAATTGATAATATTGAGTCAATTGCTCATTGCTGGCAGGTAACTGATGAGGAACCATGGGTATATCAGGTGTTACTAATAGCTTGGCTAGAATATGTTCCATGAAAAGCTGTTCAGCTTCGCGCTAACATATGTTGTGCTTCACAATCAAGAATCGTTTTCTCCCCCCTCCCCCTTTCTGCCTTCATTCTGGAAACTTGTTTCTTCTTTTACCAAGATGGGGAGCCAGCAGAATCTGAAGATAATCCATGCCACGCTTTATATAGGGCAGTCCAAGCACTCCTGAGTGTATCACCTTTGTCAGGGAGAGATGTCCCATCATCCCTTGGACATGGCCTTATTCTCCAAAGCAAGGAGTCACTCTTTTGTCTTTTTTGCCTTCTTCACAAGGGTGACATGGGTTGGTGTTGCATGATGCTGTTGCCTTTGTCCCTGTGTTCTAAGGAGGGTCACAGTATTCAATATAATGTGAGTTGACTCAAAACAACCATTATAATATGCCTCATCCATGAGCTGGTTTATGACAGCTTATGGTTTACATTTTTGTCCCATCTAGGGTTCAGCATCCAACCAACCAACCTGAAGTTGCTGTAGTCTCTTTTCGCTTTTCCTTCCAGGTTTTTGTAGTTTTGTTCATTCTCCTCCCACTTACTTATTGTGGTGCATAAAGACAAAGCAAATTTTGCTGAATCACTTGCTCATATACCATAACAGTTCACAACTTACCCCTGAATAACTCCTCAACTCTCTTGCATCTCATAGGCCATGCATCAGAAAGAAAGGTAGAAACATGTCTGGTTAAATTGTTAAATTCCTCAGGTAGCAACGCGAAGAAGACAGTTCAGTACAGCCACATCGTTCTGCCTCCTCCACATGCAAGGAGCTGGGCACCCGGAGTCTGCTGCCTTTCCCTGAGAAGGATGGAGTACCTGAAGTCCAGCAACCTCTTGGCTTACTTCCCTCAGCAATGCCTCCTGGTTTGATAACTGCAAGTGGAGAACGAAGACCAGAAGAAGCACGGCATCAAAGCAGACCTCCAGTTAGGCAGGGCTGTATTTGCACCTGGGAGGCTGGAGAAGAGTCCACATACTAAGGAGCTATTGCATACAGTTTCAGTCACGTCTGGAGAGACTGGTTTTCTCTGTCACTGAGGCTGTCAGGTGCAAGTCTTTTCTTGATGAAAAGCAAGGCATTGCTTTGAAAATAATCTCTGTGGTGGCACCCGTTATTTACATACAGGTATTTTGAGCCCCTGGGCTTCTTGTTCTCATGGTTTTGTTCACAGCTCCCACAAGCTAGGAGTGTCTCAATACAAAAAGAAGAAGAGAGAACTTAGTAATCATACTGCAACTGCAAGAGCCCTAGAAAAAGAACCACATATAAGACACGTGATTAAAACCACAAGGACTTGGCAACATGGTGCCGGCAAATCTGCTTCTCTGGAAATCCCGTGAACTTCCCATTCTAGGCTGCTAGGCAAACCCATTGCTGGATGCAGATCTTTGCTGTTGATTCATTTCACCTTGCTCAGAAGAAATGGGCAATTTATAGCAGTAATTTTAGATGTTAGATCAGCAGCAGAAGTAGCTATGCTAGCCTGCCCTGGCAGACTTTCTCCTGTCCTCCCTCCTGCTCTGCGGTGGGCTGCTGCCTGCACGGAGTGCCCCACTGATTAGCAGGGGCACTGCAGATGCTATGGTCAGTCTGGGGCAGAGGGGCATAAGCAATAGCAAAAATACCTCCTGGTAAGCCAGGAGATTGCAGCACACGTGTTTCACAGGTGTTGCATTGCCAAGGAACGGGAGAAGGAAGTAGGCAGATCTTTACCCTTTGGAGGAGAGAGAGGGACAGAAGGAGCCAGGGGACCACCTGCCTGCTGGGAAATGCCTGGAAGAACATCCTCCAGTAACACATGATGCCTTGCAAAGAGAGATGAGATCACATCCTAATAGGGGCCCATGTTGATCCCATGAGGAGTGTGAGACAGCCAGAAAGAAAGGCCCAGGTGCAGCTGCAGCCTGACCGATGGGTCCCAACATCAGCGAGCTGATGGAGGGGAGCCACAGTGGGGCAAGACCTGCCTCGCTGCACCCTCAGCACTGCAGAGTAGCTTCACCCCACACCGGAGAAGCAAGCTGATCCCTGGGGCCAGGGCTGAGCTGGAGGTAGCAGCTGGCCCAGCACCCCTGCGGCCCGGTGGGGTTGTTAGGAGGGTGGGTCTTCTCACGCTGTGCTCCTTGATGCAGCTGCAGGGCTCTCCAGCTCTTTTGAGGGCCACCTGGCTTCTCAGAGTGTCTGTTGCTGCCTTTATTTGAGCTGCTGCAGACAGAGTGACCTGAGCCCACTGGGAATGAATTAGTTGCACAGCTCTTCACAAAGGAGCACAGCATCAGTTTGCTTGTGTGCTCCTTGCTTCGGCCCGGAGGAATGACTCGTGGGTAGTGTTGTTCCCGGTAAAGATGGTGGCAGGTAAGCAGAGGCTGCATGGTCCAGCTTACCCCTGCCGTTACAGGAAGTTTCACAAATAGACCCAGAATGGGTGGTTTCCTCGTGGTAGTGCACCTAGGCTTGGTGTCTTGCCTGACTCCTTGTAGGCATTTGCCATAATTTCTTTTACCATCTGCTCTTTCTGTGCGTGTTCCATAAGTATTTATGCTTTCTTGGAGGGGCTGTGTCCTATAATCTCCATTGCGTTTGCTTTTACTATAAACATGGGATCTGCTGATACATGTAAGCAGTATTGGGGTACTGCCTTAGAGCCAGCCACTTGTCCTTATAGCATGTGAAAAATCACAACAGGTAGACCCTAAATGGTTAAATTTTATTAAGTACCAAAATCTAGTGAAAATAAAATAATCCGAATGAGAAAGGGGAATCAACTTGGGGATTAGTCATTATTGAGTAGGATTTACAGAGGAGTAAAACCAGCGTAAAAATGTAAACTAGCTTTGCATCCACCCACCATACCATGTTTGCTTGCTAAGAAACACCAAGCAAGAACAAGTAGGCACATCATCTGATTTACTGCAGCAAAGGTCCATGGGTCAAAACAATCTAACAAAAGAACTACCTCTCAGACAGCAGATGTACATGCCTGAGCTGGGAAAGACCTGCTTACAAACGTAGTGCCTGCTTGTCCATTGGCCGCCAAGGGGTCCTGCAGCCTTTGCCCAGAGCTCTGTCTGCAGATCTTGGTATTGCCTGTGTGCCCATTCTCTGAGAGGTGTTTCAGAGGGACAGTTGCGATCAAAAATATTTTCCACCCAAAGCTGTACTCTACCTCTTCCTGTTGCCACAAGGCAGATCAGATACTTGCCTACAGACAATACTGCAGCATTGACAAGGTTGGTAGGCAGATGCACTACTCCGTGGAGGGGTCCTGTCCCTCTGATATGGCCTTCTGCAGTAAGGAGGCAGATTAAACCCGCTGTGTCCCGACAGGGTTCTCGTGTCCTCTTCTGACAGCCCTCTCCCACCAAACCCCAGACACGTCCCAACAGATGTCAGCAGCCTTGCACATTGCTAGTGCACAAGGCTTGACACTGTGCACAAGGATCATGCTTGTGTTGGGCAATTTTTGGGATTTTTTTTCATCCCTAGTCATCCAAAGACCTTTTATTTTTCCAGGTAAATGTAGTCTGATAAAGAGATTTCAGTACCTTGGCTGCTCTTGGTCTATTCTCTATCTCTTCCCATGGCCTTAAGAAGTGCCTCTTCTTTTCTTTTGAGATCACCAGCACTGCTAAGTCAAACCAAGCTGGCGGCTTGCTTAGAGCCCCAGCTTTGGGAGTCACATGAGCATGGGAAAGTCCTGGTTTACATTAACCCTCCTCCCCACCAAACCTCGTATTTCCTGAGAAAAATTTGACAGCAGGGACCCAGTACCTACAGCCTGGTATGCCAAAAGAGGAACAAGAAGAAACCAACCGTTGAACTCACATTTTGCTAAGTTTTATGTTTCTGAAGCATGCTTGTGCTTTTGTAGGACTGGAGTCCCATCAGCTTTTGAAGGTAGGATTTGTCAGCACTAATGCTTCTCTCTTCCCCTCCCCGCCCACTAGTGCCCGTAAGTCCATTTCTTCTCCCTTTTGTCTTCCTTGCTTCAGAACTGCCTTTTCCTCTCCACCTTGCATGACTGGGAGAGTTTCTGCTTGCTTAATACCACCTTCTCTACCTGCATCTTTAGTGCGACACCTCTTCACAGAAGGCAATGGAAGGATGAGGGAGGTCCTTTTGCTAAAGACCCCAGCATTGGTGCTGTAAAAGTAAAAACCATAGGCTCCAGAAAATGTGTGAAGTTTTAGATACATTTTCCCCCTAATTCAAAAAAAATAATTATGCCAAGCCATCTGTTGCTAATGTAAAAAAAGATGTAAATAGATGATACATAGTGTACAGCGTGTCACATGAGTGCTCCATCTGCTGTGGGGAAAGTCACCATTCCCCAGCAACAACATGGGTGCTGAAGTGCAATCCAGGGTTTGGAGCAGCCTTAGGCTTTCCAAAGGTGTAACCAGCTCCAAAAGCTGCCCCAGAAGGAAAACTATTCAAACAACGGGGGGTGGGGTAGATCTCTGCATAACAATCCTTCCTCTGTTTTTCTGACATGTAGCAATAGTGGCTGTGTCGGGGACAGGGTAAGTTGTACCTTCGTGCTCTTGTTTCAGACTCTTTGCAAGCTCAGGGATCCTGCTTCCTTACATATGCTTGCAAGGTTTACCTGTCAGCCACAGATCTAGCAAGCTGTATCTCTTTACTTAATGACAGCAGAAGGCTCCTGCAATGTCAAAGTAACTGAACAATAAAGCGGCAGATGAAACTCAGCTTTGACGATCATGAAGCAGTGTGCTTGGGGCAACAAACTCTTGCCTTAGCTGCAGACTGATGGACTACGCATCAGCTGTTGCCACTTAGGAAGAGACCCAGGAGGTTCTGTGAATGGTTCGGCGTGCTCACTAGTGGTCAGAAAAGGAAAAAAATGTTGAGAATTACAAGGAAGGGAATAAAGGTAATCCATTAAGTCTCTGGTGTGTCTGCATTTTGAGCCCTCTGCCTAGTTCTGGTGTCCCCATCTTAAGATGGGTGCAGTGACAGGACAGGACAGACTATGAGGAGCTGGAACTAGGGAACAGTTCTGTGCTAGGACATGGCAAAAGTGCCAGGACATGGCAAAGTTACCAGGACTCTTAGCCTGCAAAACAGAGAAGGTATGGTAGAGGTCTAAGAAACCAGAACTCAAATACGAAAAGTGAACAGGGAAACCACTATTCACTGCTTCTCAGGCCACCAGGTCTGGGTGACACCCCATGGAGTTGGCAGACAACAGGTCCTAAATTCAGCAAAAGGATGAGCCACTTCACAAGATGCACAGTTAACTTCTGCTGCTGGAGCTGGCAATGTCAGGAGTTTGTGATTTCCAAAAACTTCTAAACATATCTGTGGCATGAGTTCCATGATTACTGTTAAATGTGGAGGCCCCAGAGCAACCTCTTCCTCCAAAAGTTCCCAAATGCTTATTGGTAGTAGATGGAGGAAGATCTTTTATCCTGCTTCACTCCTTTCTCAAGTGCCTGCTGCTGTCAGCCGCGTAGCTGCATCAAATGGCCCCATGGACTCACTGACCTTGGACCAGCAGTTTCCCAGAACCCGGTATCATGTTTTCAGCTTGCAACAGATTTGGGACAACACAGGAGTGCAAAGCAACGCAGGTAAAAATCCTTTGCATTACCCAGTAGGAAGCACTTCTTGGCTGAGAAAATGCTCTCCTTCCCCACGGCGCTGACAGTCCTTCCGGCCCCCGGTGCTCCCTGCGGAGCGTGGGGTGGATGCCTGTGAAGGGCAGGATTTTCCCCTGGGTGCAGAGCCCTGTGCTGCCGTGGCCTGCGTGCAGCCCAGAGGTGGGGAGAGAGGCAACAGCGCCAGGAGCAGGGCAGGTCATGGTGGATGGACCTCATGTGGGGCTCCCCACCCTGTGGTCTCCTCTCACCCCTAGCAGCTACTGCAGGAGGGAAATATTATTCAGTCTAGGGACAGAGGATGAACCTCAGTGACAGAAGCGAGTGTTTCTTGCTTTTCTGGTGTTGGAGCGCATAATCCAGCCCCTCTTCATTTCCAGAGCATCCAGGAGGCTTCTCCCTAGGGATACAGCTGTACATTAACAGCTTTTCACCACTGAACATGATGGTGTCTAACTCAATGTGGACTTTCACAGTGAAAGATGACTGCGAGAAGACTGAGGAGAAACCACCTGAAATCTTTTGGGAGAGGGGCAGTTCAAAACAGAAGAATGCTTTTGTGCACCCTGACTCGCCTGGAGCCAGGGCTCTTGGCTCCAGTGGTTTCTGGTGCTGGGGGACATGCAGACACAGTCACATCAAGACACCCACTTCTGGGGCCAAGACAGCTGTTACCTCCAGGAGGAAGCCTCCCCTGCACTACCAAATCTGCCTGAGGAAGCAGGATACACTCAGGCTTTGTAAACAGCCAGACTGGGTACAAAACCAGAAGAATGTCACTGCCCTTGCCCCAACCCAAACGTTGCTGATCCAGACAGAGCCCTATTTTGCTATTGCTAGAAAAAGGCAACACAAAATACTATTTTCTGCCTTTTTTTGTCTGATCCCTTGAACACTCTGGGGGTCTAATTCTGCGTATCTCAGTGGTTCTTGGGGGTAGGGGGAGCAAGCTGTGTGATGCCTTTGCACCTTACCAGGTAGCAGAAAGCTTCCCAGCTGGGTGGGTCATGAAACACCCAATGTCACAGACCCAGCAGGAGATAAATGCAATTTGTTTGACCATGCAGTAAGCAACAGTAGGTTTGGAGGCTCGAGACACCGGCAGGAGCTCGTGCCAGCTGTTTCCCTTCCCCAACGTCCCCACCTGGAGCTCAGTGATGGGCAGCTCCTGCTGCAGACATGGAGGAAGAGACATGGCACAGGAAAGTCTTTTCTCTCCCTTTCCATGACTAGCAAGCTGCTTCTCAGAGGTACAAACCAGGAGACTGGAGACAGGTGAGCTACCACTGAGATGATCCTCACACTTATGCTCGGAGGGCATTTTAGGTACGTATAGACCAGCTGTGACTCGCCCAGTCCTGTTTTTCACCTTTTACAGCTGCCCAAGAGGCCTGGATGACTCTGTCTTCACATTTATGTCCTCTGCATGGCTGAGCAAACAAGCAGTGCCTTGTCTCGACCGGACTTCTCCACCCTTTGCTGGCTGCCTTTCAGTTATCTGCCAAAGTGCATTGCAGGCAAATATTTGCTCTGTGGTCTCAGACGCTACCTCACTCCTGTTTGCCCAGGTTCTCACTTCAGTGCCTTGAACATGGTGCTTACTCCACCCACACCCTGGGGTGTTCAAATAGATCCCAAGTCACAAAGGCACGGGCTTTGTGTGCCATGCTCTGCTGCGTGCCTTCCCTCCCCAGTGCTGGCAAACGTGGAGAAAGAAGAGACGACTCCGAGAGAGAGATGTCCAGGCTGTCAAATCCACCTGGAGTCTTTGCAACCCACGCACCCGTGCTGGGGAGCATGCCAGCCATGCCCAGCACAGCAGTAAGCACCAGGAGGCTAAAAGCAGGGGCAGACAGCAGGCCTGCTTTCTGTGAACCTTCGTGCGAGCACTAAGCCCCTCTGTGTCTCGGTTTGCTGGGACTCTGGTCTGCTGCAAGGCCAGATGAGTGGAGGCTTGGTGTTGCACCTTTTCTACCCACCTGCAGGTGCCTGGTCTGCAGAGATGTTGCGTGGGAGGGCTGCATTAAATTGTGTGTGTAGTTTTATTCTGTTGGGCTGTGCTCTGCTGAGGACATGCAAGCTAGATAAAATTACCAGTTGCAGACCAGTTGCAGGAGTGCTGCACCTGAAGGAACCTGGAAGGCACCTGGAAGGCCACCTGGGTCTCCTTCTCTTGGCAAAATGCTGCTGGTGAGGGTCCCCCCAAGCTCCTACAGGTCTTTGGATCCCTAGTTCATAGAACTGTCATCTTCACCTATAGACTCCACCCCGTTGCTCCTAGGGCGCAGCACTTGGGAAGAGAGGCCAACCAATGTGGTCCTTCCCTCCCTCCAGAATGGGACACTGCAGGGAGGTGGAGGAGAGGATGAGGGAGAGGGCCTCCTGCGTACGGGGCCGACCTGGGTGCACGGGTGGGCTCAGGACCCTTGTGCATAGCATGTCCGGTTAAGGCAGCTGCTGGTCCATCCTTACAGGGACTCTTTCAGCAGGGTGCTCAGTTTGTCTGGGTACCCCATGCTCCCCTCAGGAGAGCCCTGATGTAGTGCTCAAGGATCAAGAAGAAAATAAAGTTCCCTGTTATTTTTTCTTTCTTGCTTGCTTTCTGCCTTCCCTCTCCTGAGCTCACAGCTTCAAAAGCTCAGAAGTGCAGCCAGACTCTTCCCATTATACGGCAGTGGGGCGAAGACCCCCTAGGTGCTCCCTATGTGCCCTGATAGCAAAGGTGGCCCTGATGTACCCAGGGAAGTTTAAGCAGGACTGGCACCACTGCTAACGCAGACCCCGAGGACTGCTGGAGTGGAGCAGCAGCTTTGCAGAACGCCCCACATGACTTTAATATGTCAGGTACCAGGGGAGAACAGCACATGGAAAGGTCAGGCTCCAGCTGCTGTAACAGTTCCCAGCCAGGCAGACACGCTCTGCTGCAGGACGCCTGCTCTGGGGAGGCGATGCGACTACTGCAGTGGCAAGAAGCGGTAAGAAGCACTGTGGAGGGGTAAATACGATGCACCAGCCCAGCTGCCAGCACCGCAGTGCTCAGCTGTAACAGCCACGGATCGGCCCGAGAAGGAGGGACTCACCTTCCCACGGCTTCTTGCAAAGGCAGTGCATGTAGCAAGGAACCAGTGTGGTTTCAATAAAGCAACGCCAGCACGCGGTTTGACAAGTAGCGAGTTCTTCCCTCCAAGCAATTCCTCTTTCTAGCCCAGCACATTCACTTGACATAAGGGCAACGGAGGACACTAGAAAGTGTCTCCAGGTTTTGGCTGTCAAAAGGAAAGTAGCAATGCTAATTTTGAAAGTAGAAGGGAAAGA